GTTGAGAGTGAATGTATTTATTAGCGAGAATGTGTAGTGTGAGTGGGGAAATATCGAAATATTGAGTACCACATGGCCGCTCAATTTGGTTATTTATGTAATAGATGTAAAAGCTGATGGAGGAATATCGAGTAGTGAGTGAATGAGTGAGTAAATAGGAAAGAATTTATTTAAGAGTAAATAAAAGTGCGAACGGGCATGGATTTAGGAACTGTTGGCTGAAATGACCTAGCTGTAGATAGCCCCTACAACCCAACTCAGGTCGGATAAGACCGAGGTCTGACCCGGGATGGGTGATTCTTGCGGCCTGTTGGTAATTTATTTTAAATTACACAAAATCTGCAATTGCCGACGGGCTGCGATAAGTGATGGGTTCAGCTCTGTACAGGTGTGTGTGTGTGTGTGTGTGTGTGTGTGTGTGTGTGTGTGTGTGTGCGTGTGCGCGTAGATGATCTTATGTAAATCAATAATAGTAATTCGAACAAAAACCTTAATGTTTATTTGGAAATCGTGAGATGCGATCTGGTGTGAAGTAGGTTTTAGAAAAAAATTTTCTTTGTCGTGCCAACGTTTCGATCTTTATTGAGATCATCTTCAGGGCTCAAAGTGTTTGTTTTCCGTGTAGATGTGGCACTCGCAACACGACACACAAGAATGACACATCTACACAACAAACACTTGGAGCCCTGAAGATGATCTCAATAAAGATCGAAAAGTTGCGACCATAAAGAAAATGTTTTTCTAAAACCTACGTCCCACCAGACCGCATCTCACGATTTCCAAATTACCATTAACTAACGGTCACTAAACACCTCACAAAAACCCTTAATGATGAGTTGTTAAAAGCAAGAAAGAACACGAGGACTGTCAAAACTAAAATGACTTAACTAAAGCAAAAATAAAAGTTGTAAACTTGGAACTCTGCGTGTTCTAGAATATTTGCGAGAAGTTCGGCAACAAATTGTCTGAGACACAAATCAAAAATAAATTGTCATCAATTGTTGAAAAAATATGTAATGAAATAAGTATTAAAGCTTTTGTGTTGGATAGAGGTGAAGGGTTATCAGATTAGGCATTCACTGTTGGACACAAGGGTTGAATTGTACGTATAGGCTGGAAGGAAACCGTCCTAATGTTTATTCAGCTTAAAAGTTTAAATATTTTACAGAGATTCACATTCAGAAATGCTCTAGAGTTCCAGTAGGTTTTTAAAGATTTTTGTACCGCACACATTTATAAAAAGGCCTGATTTTTTTAGTTTATTCAGTATTTATAACCGAATTTTCCACGCCCCGTTGGATTAGAAAAAAATACCTTGATATAAAACACACAACCTCATGTCGATCGGCATTCTTGGCTTTTATTGAGGACTTAAATATTCCGCGCTTTTAGTGCCCGAACCGCTGGCGTGAAGTCTACCTTTTACAACGCTTATGTTATAACTTGTCGGTAATAACCTTTCGATTTTTCAGGAAAATCTAATTCAGACCAGTTCACCTCAGGTAAAATTATTTTTTTCAGTTTCCTTCAAAACAATACATGTTTTGACATATGGTAAAGGTTTTACTTTCAATATACTTTTTACAAATCGAGTTTTGCTATCTCAAAACGAATTTTAATCAACTTTCATTCAAAATAGAGTTAAGTTCCTGTCTTATAAAAAGGCAGAATGTAGACTATCCGTTGGGTGTCGCGGACGAGGGGCCACTTAATAAAACGTTTTAAAATTATTATGTATTAAAATTCCATGGGCTATGCCAGGATCCGAACCCAGAACCGTTACCGTAGCAAAGTCAGATGCCGCAACCATTCACCGCGGTTCCCGGCTAATTTAGCCCTTGATTAAATAAACTATTCATATAGCAACAAGTCTTCTCAAGACTTAGCAAAAATAAGTACGTATAAAAAAGATATGCTAAGTTGTTTTCTTAGTGGCTCAAGCATTCCGTATGTGAGGGCTAATATCAGGCTGGCGCGTTTTTCACGCAACATAGAAAAAATTAAAGAATAGACTACTAAGTCATTTCTGCCTAGATATCTAGATAGCCCCTTGATTCTCGTATATCATCCGTTCTACAGAGACTCAAATGGGAGTTTACAGAGATACACTCTTTTTGTACTTGTGGTGAAAAAAATCATGGCTAAAGCCAGAAACACACTTACCCGATGCTACGCCATGCGACGCTACCCGACGCAAATCAAAACTCCGATTTTCCGTAAGGTTGCATTACCCCCGTGCACATCTATCCGATGCTATGCCACGCTAACCTACCCGACGCTATGCGATCCCCACTGTCCAGATTTTCGTCGGGTCGCATCGAGTACAGTCGAAGACAAAAGAATCGGACACTAATATTTTTATTCAAACTACATGTATTATTGTCTTTATATTAATTACAACATACTTATTTTAATATAAACCAAATTAACTGTAATTAAAAATTAGTTAGTTTTTATTTAAAAAATTAATTTTAATGGTTTGGTAGAAAATTAATTAAAAGTGGTAGAAAATACGATTTTTTGATATAATGAATTTAACTAACAATTTATTGTACTCGCTTCGGCGGTACATATACTAAAATTGGAACAATTTATTACACGGTTTTGCTCATAAAATTTAATTAACAATTTATTTCATAGTTTTGCCACCACCATTTTGTAATGTCGGGTAGCATATCAGAACAGGACACTCATAATTTTTGTAGTTTATTTCAAACTAAGTACATGTAATTTTGTCGTTATATTAATTACAACATGTTATTTCAATGTAAACCAAATTAAACGAGATCAAAAATGCATAAGTTTTTAAAAACATTGTTTAATTATGATGGTTAGGAGTAACTTTATTTAAAACAATTAAGTTTAACAAACAATTTATTAGATGGTTGTGCTCATAAAATTTAACTAACAATTTATTACAAGGTTTTGCTCAAAATAGTGCATTAAGAACAAAAGATGAGTTTCGATTGTGATCGTGATTATTGTGATAAACGCTGTGGACTGTACGCGACGTCGGATAGATATGCACACCCCACCAAAACGTGGCAAGGCGTCGGGTAGCATCGGGTAGCGTCGCATGGCGTAGCATCGGGTAAGTGTGTTCCTGGCTTAAGGCCGGTTTTATTATTGTATGAAGAGGATGGTGGGATGTAAAGTTGAGGTAGTGATCTTCATACAACAATAAACACTGCTACAAAATTAATAAAATAAAACACAATTTCAGTTTTTTTTATTAATCCCCTTAGTAGATGGAAACAACCATTTAGAGAGAAAAACGGAAATGAAACATAACTCACAGTTTTCATTTTGAGAAAACCAATTTCAAACGTTACCATGAATGTTTTAGCCCGCTTGTACAATATTATCTTTAAAACAGTGAACTCGGCTCTGATTCGGCAGTCTGCTGTGCTCAAGAGCTGCTTTGTCTTGTTCATCCCGATGGAAATGAAGCCACCCGGATAAATACAAGACTTGTAATAGCACAGACATCGGCTTTGCGGTCACAAGACATCTTTCGCTCCCCCCACGACCGAACAAGGGCTAAGTGGAATATTCCCTTAAGGGCACTACAGAGCTGTCTTCACCAACGCCTCCTACAACAGGAGAAAGCGGTTTCTGAGGGAAAATTAATTCGGAATCAAAGCGAAACCCCCAGCGGGTACGCCTCCCTTGTTATTGTATCTGTAGGGGGAGAAAAAAAAAGTAAAAAGGCAATTTACATTTCTCATTAAAAGAAAGGCAATTTGACGTCCAATACTCTCGGACGTCATGAAAGGTTTAGGGTTTAGGTTCTTTCAAAAATTAAAATTCGACTACAATATTTCGCGTTTGAATGTCTTCCTTTAAAATATGTTCTGAGCCCCAACAAGCCTTGAAAAGGGGAACCGGCAGTGGTCTCGAAATATATGAAATAAAAAGTAAAATAAAGAGGTTGTGAAGTGCGATAAATACTTCTACTACATCTTGAATTCAACAACAACCAAAATAAAAGGAGAAGGTTACATCTTTTTTTAAAAAACTCGTACCGAACCCAATGCTTGAAAATTGTTCTTTAATTGACGTTTTTATTCATATCTAATTGATATTCGATCAATTACTCTGTTTATTTACAAATTACCAATTAGTAAGAAATACTTTTACTGCTGCCAGTGCCATCAGTTAAACAAAGTCCATTTTCACTGCTTAATACAACTCGGAAAGGGAAAAAGTCCAATTAAACATATTTAACTGAGGTTCAAAATTTAGCGAAAACATCTCTCCGGTTTCAACGTCTAGACACAACCAAATAAAAGAAAACAAATGTTTTGTTTATTTAAAGTAATTGGTTAAACAAAAATAAATCCATTCTGAATAACAGATCCAAACAAGGGGGGAAAAGGATAAATAAATGCCAATAAAATATACCATTAAAAATCTCTCTTCACTACCATCGTTAAAACATTGTCGCTGATACAATTTTGTTCATTAATCTAGAAAGAGAGAGAGAATTTATTCTCCATTAAATATCAAAAATTCTTTGTGTATCAATAATTTAATTTGTTAAACAAAATCTGTTGATAAATGTTTCATTTATCATTTAATAACTTTCAATTATCAAGAAAGAAAATTAAAAAGAGAATTTACCATTGCATGAAATACAAATATTAAAGTTGAGTCTTATATATTTATTTATGTAAATATGACACTGTTTAACAGACCGTTTCTTTTTTTCTTCTATTATTACATCAAACAATAAAAATATATTTACGTGCTGTCTCAAATGAAGGCACGCTACAATAAGCGCATTCGCAATTTTATTTTGGTCCCACTTGTCCGATAAACATTTCGCGGTATCAAAGTCGAAATTTAACGTCCGCACGCGAACCTGGTTAAAAACAGAACTCGGACAAGAAAAGATTTGCATTTTGAAACGGCCGAGTTGCCAGATTTCAAAACAGTCGTAAACAAGATTGTCCTTTGTTATATTATACAGTATTTGCAGTATATTTTATAGCACTTACCTAAATTTTCGACTTCGCAAGGAAGGACCAAAGTGTCGCCGATAACGACTCGGTAGTTTTGGCCCCTGGTTGTAAATCTCGGGGCGGACGTGACCAAAGCGTTGCCTGAAACAAAGAAGAAAATTTTAAAAAACATGTGAAGTTATTCGGTCAGACTTTGAAATTAAACACAAAACAACTTTGAAATTTTCGAGATAAATATTTACAACAATCAATTATCCCGTTAGTTGAAATGAATTTAAGAATACGGCCATCAGTGAATTTTGCATTTAATAATTCTTAAAATAATCAATTTATTGTAAATTATAAAACTACTGAAAAAAGTAATTACATATTTTAAGACATTTCCAAATTCACCACTTTTAGTTTTGCCAAAGATCGACTACATCTTCAAAACCGTCCCCATTTGGAATTTACATTTAAAAGTGTTTTTGTGTATGCCTATGTGCTTCTAAATACCATAATTTTTACTTGTCGCATTTTGTATGCAATTGTAAAATAAATAACGATAAATAAAAAAGAGAATATTTGAAGTTAATAGAAAAATAATTNTATAAATACTTATTAAAAACAACTGGTATACAGGGGGACTGGGGCGATAAGTGGCAAAAATGTGAGGTGTTTCTACGCACCATATGCAACAAAAAACTTCCTACAAACCCCCCTCCAAATCTCAACGGTAAAGTAGTAATTTAAAGTTTTGGGTTTTTAATTTTTTATTTTTCGACTTAGGACCACTAAATTGCTTATAAACTTCAGAATAACTGACAGTAAAAAATTCTGGTTTGTGAAAGCCTGACAGTACAGTACATTTGCTGTAAGAAAACGTATTTACTTTGCAAAATTGATGAAAAAGATCTGAACGAATAATTAAAAAAAAAAAAATTTAAATTTGGAATTTTTTGAAGAGGTTGGATAACTGTTAATAACTAAAAACTCCGGGAGCTTTCCTAATTCCCCCAAAAGTTTCACATTCCATTAGCTTCCAGCGGTATACCCAACGTTTTCGATTGCGCTTCTGGAAGGTCCAAAAATTTTGCATCTTGTTCAAAAAAATCTATATCGATAAAGGGGGGCACCCAATTTTTCAGTAAATCCGTCTGGCTCTTGAGTTTCGTGTCAGTTCTTTATAGTTCGATTCAATCAGTTTGCTGATAGATGAGGGAAGCTGGTTCTTTCACTCGAAGAACGAGGGGAAACAATCCGCGAGTTGGTGTAGGAATTCCTCATCTACACCGATTCGCTGATTGTCTTCCTTCGAGTGAAAGAACCAGTTTTCCTCAGCCTCCGATGAAGTCTTTGGAAGGTGCGATATGCTGGAACGTCTCGTTGTGGAAAACAATCTTGGCATTCTCTCTCTGCAGCAGTAGCATTACCGTTGCAGTAAGCGTAAATCAAATGCATATTAGCAAGATGTTCATTAGGAAACAAAGACATATTTTAACTCACCAACCTGAGGATGTTGCCAGATGCTAACACAAAGCAAACTGATTGAATCGAACTATAAAGAACTGACCTCCTGAAATTTTCGACACTTATCGCCTGTCACCCTGCATAAAGATAATTAATAAGTTTAATATGCATTCTCAACTATTTATGTACAACTTACTACCTATGTACACGTAAGTATACCTGAATATCTGGTAATCAGTATGGATATAATAATGGAATATATATTTTGGCTGTTTATTAATGTCTATGCTTATAAAATAAAGTCAAAATTAACATGTCCTATTTGCAGCCGTCGCCAAGCAGAGAGTGTGTAATATATTTTTTAGTTGTCCAGTATATTCATCATTTCGACAAACGTTCTTAAATAAATATACATATAGAATCTGTCAAGCAAAATGTTAAAATTGAAATTTTATTATTCCCCAAAAAACTCATAATTCAGTTTATTATTTGTTATGTTCTTTTCTGGCACTATGAAACTAAGAGCATTAATACTGGCTAAATACAATAATTTGTTGAATGCTATCTCAAGTAATGGCAACATAAGCTCAGGTTGGAAATAACCAAAAGATAAAATGTTTCTGTTCTAATTTTATAATAGTACCACAATTGTTTTACTTGCTTCTATATTACTTTTTTCTTTTAGCTTTTGAGTTTGTATCTGCCTTATTTAGTTGCCTAAGTTAGTCAGTAAGGTTGTTTTGCTTTTTTCTATTTTCATTCTGTTTTATACTGTTTTATATTAAACCATCTATTTTATTTTGTTCTATTCTATTTGGATGTTTGGATGACAGAAATTGAGTACACCCCTAGAATAAGTTATATGTTTGTTTTTAAAGCAAAGTGACAGTAAATTGCGTAAAGTAATTCAAAAGTTTTACTGTATTTTGGTAAGGTTATTGTCATTTTTGACAGACTGTTACTCTTCTTTAAAATATTTGTGTATACAGGGTGATGCATTGTTCGACGCACCATAGGAAAGCAATGCACCTGGTAAATGACTGACAACAGTCCTTCAAACTGAAACTTGGTATTTCTTTTTCATTGGCTGGTGGCCAATTTCCCTTAAATCGACTTGGAGGATTTTCTGGTAGGGTCGTAATTGATAACTCTTGTAGTAGGAAATTAGTGTGAATGCTCAGTAATCAGTGAGATTCTAAAAGAACATTTTTTTATAAATAATGATTTCTCGATAAAAATTTTTAAAAATATTACAGAGATAAGTTATTTCTGACATTTTGGCCTGGGAACCAGGAAATTAAAACAGTTACCATTACCATTCCCATGAATGTAGACCCACATACCGCCAATACCTTATTCCGAGGCGAATGGGAAGATAAATTCCCATCATACCATTTAATATTCAAACAGGGTTGAAAAGGAGTAGGAAGTGCATTTTATGATACCAAAATGGATTGTTCGTGTAGCATTAACCTGCCCGAAGATGTAAGTATCTTTGCAGCCGAAATGTACGCAATATCCAACGCTTTATCATATGCAGGATCTCTACCAAGCAACATTAACAACGCACTGATAATAACAGACATTGAAAGAGCAGACAAATGCCTTAAAGAATTTTCACCGAAAACAAACTGTCGAAATTATGGTCTGTGAAAGAGGCCAAAAAAGTACGATGCATGACATAATAATTGAACACTAATATTATCATGGTTACTTGCGCATATTGAAGTATAAAGTAACGAAAAATACATAGATTAGCCAAAATAGCAGTAACAGCAGGAGAGCCGTCAAACTTTGAAATTTTTCCAGATATATTTAACAACCTCAAAGCTGCTTGATGAAAAACTTTAAGTCACCGAAAGGGAAATTTTTCAAAATTATAAATTCAGCATGGTTCAGTACGTCTTCGGTGATTAAAAACCGTCGTACAATATGCAGCCTGAGGTAAAATCATGGGATATTTAAACAGCACCTGAACAAAATAAACCTCTCGACCCTCCCCTCCACGATGCAGATTTGTTTCGAGGTTAAGACCTTTAACATACCATTATGATATGCCCTGAATTTAAAACGCAGAAACAAGTTTTCAAACAAAACAGCCCAACAAAAAATAACGCAAGTAAGTTGGGGTCGGTTGTCAGGATTCTGGGCCCATGGTCTGGCCGGGGGCGGGATAGGAACTGAACCTTTGAGTCCCGGTTCCCTGGAAGATGTGAACTTTTCCATAACACACATAGATACATACCATAAATGATATATATATATATATATATATATATATATATATGCTTTATTCGTCAGCAGACTTTTTTAAAATAAAATTGAATTAGTGGGTATATTCTCATAAGATCAAACAGTTATAAAAAATTTATCGGGTTTTTGAGAGATATCCTCATCGAAATATATGAAGACTTTCTACATACACAGACATTTTCACAATGACAGCTTGGTAAAGTGTTTCTTCCATCACGTATTTCCTAATAAATTCATAAATTATTTTTATATAAGGTTACTTCCGCCAAAAACTGAACGCCTCATTTCTTCGTTTGAAAATCCTTCCAATAGGAAACTGACGAACGATTTTTTGCCATTTTTTGTGAAATTTATTTGTTATTTTACTACTTTTTCATACTCAGCAATCGTTAAGTGAAAAATCTTCGAGTGAACAAATCACTGTATAGTTAAATTCACTAATTTCGTGGTCCGCTTGACCAATTAATATATTACAATTAATTAAGGTTTTTAGTTGAGATTAAAAAGTCAATGGTACGAGCGGGATTCGAACCCACGATCTTCGGCTTGATAAGCCGCTGCTCTGCCACTTGAGCTATCGAGACCTCGATCCACTCGGACACTAACTTCCCATCACAACCGCACCTTTTGAATTTTTCCTCCTTTTTGCCATTTTTCAAATGTCGTGTAATGAAAATCCTTTTTGAAAAATGGCAAAAAGGAGGGAAAATTCAAAAGGTGGGGTTGAGATGGGAAGTTGGTGTCCGAGTGGATCGAGGTCACGATAGCTCAAGTGGTAAAGCAGCGGCGTATCTAGTCGAAGATCGTGGGTTCGAATCCCGCTCGTGCCATTGACTTTTTTATCTCATCTAAAAACCTTAATTAATTGTAATATGTTACTGTATAGTATTTGTAAATAGTGGATTAATTATTGTAAGCAATGTGAAACAGAGCAGTAATAATTGAATTAGGTTTACTAGATGGTCATAAAAAACATTACCGGAAACAAATGTAATAGCACAGATATAATCCAAAGAGTTAATGAGTCATTTAGAAAGTATCTCATTCATTAAGTTATAGACTGGTTCACTTTTTTAATAATTACCGATTCTTCGGTCGTTTAAACTGAAACTTTTTTCTTTTTTTTTTAAATAAGGGCATTTATTATTAATTGTGATAAGATATTGTAATAAGAGTGAACCTTAAATAACGCATCGTACAGGCAAAACAGAGGCGACGAAGCAAATAATTCAAGGCAAAAAACACAGTGTAAGTTATTATAATTTATTCAACAGGTTCAGAGGGCCGAAAACAAAGTTTACCCCTGTCGGACAATAAAAAGAGCTTAGGCCGGTAAGTTGAAATTTAATTGCTTCACTCGTGTGTTCTATTATGTCACATCGGAGAAGCATGTTTAAAGACAATGTGAACACAATGTAAATCACTTGTCTCGGTTTCCA